GTCGGGTAACACATGTGATCAGTTCAGGTCAAGTCAGGTAACACAAGCGTTCAGGTCAGGGAATACATGCGTTCTTCTGAGCCTGATCTATTTTATAGAGTATTAAAATTAGATGAAATTGTTATATTCCCAAAACAAAATAGTGTCCAGGTTAGCAAATGGGTGCAGGGTATTTACAGATAGGAATGTAGATATGTAGAGACTGGGTAATTGGGAATGGTGGTTACTGGACTGTCAGGTATCATTATTTACAGACTGGAATAGTTCTGAGTGTGGTGTAAAACAACATTGACCTCCTCCAAAGATCAAATACATGTTCACACTTCCAGCAAGGTTTCTAACCACTTTTACAAAAACTAGACACCAATAACAATTAACAACATTTATCTGTAGCAATCTCGTCTTTTTACAATTAGTAGTTTATTATTTTGTATTGACACATTCAGTGTTTTGAAATATATATTTTTAAATGTGAAAATGGAGTCATGTTCAAGGAAGTGTTTCTCCTTTTACCCACCTGACTGCTTCAGTCCTATGCTAATTACAAGGACATACTTAGGTTGATAAATGTAGACTGGTGTACTGAACTGCAGTACTGCAATATCTGAATGCCAGTAGGTGTTTTGAAAAGGTTATACAATTATTGATATTGTTCTATTTTAAATGCTATTTTTCAGCCTTACTTTTCACATCAAGGGGTAAATTTTACGTAGCAATTATTGATTTCTCTAAAACATTGGAGTCCATTCAGCGTTATCTTCTATGGAAGCTATCTGCAAACATGGTTTGAGTGCTAAAATGGGTAAAATGTTATAATCCATCTACAGTAATGTGAAGGCTGGTGTTCGTGCAAACAACAGAGTATCTGGTACATTTGATTGTTTCATTGGGGTGAGGCAAGGGTGTATGCTTTGTCCCTTTCTGTTGCAGTTTCTCGTAAATGATTTGGTTTGAGAAATTGAACAAAATTGTCACATTGGTGTTCAGTTTCATCTGGATGTTAGTCATATTTTTCTACTTTTATTTTCTATTTTGTTACGCAATACTGTTAACAAATTACAAATAAAGTTAAAAATATTCCATGATTACTCTTGTAAATGGAATATGTCAGTGACTCTTTCAAAAAATAATTAATAGTTTTTTAAAAATGGGGGGAGGTTTATCCCGTTCACCAAAATGGTATTATGGTGGAAACGTGGTTGAAGTAGTTACTGGATACAGTGATCTTGGCCTGTATTTTGGCAATATATTACTGTGGTCATTTTGACTTCAAATTATTTGATGCAAACATAACACCAATACTTTTATACGAGGCTGAAATTTGGGGTTCAGTGATATGGAACCATTATAGAAAGTTTAACTGTATGCCCATAAGTGATTTTAAAACATAAAATTATCAACTTCAAATAATGGGGTGATAAGCAATTGTGGTAGATATTCTATTCAGTTACTTGCTGTTTTGAAATGTGTTAAATATTGCCTGTCTATTACCAATAAGCAGGAATCTTGTTTTCCCCAAAATTTAGATGAGGATTTGGCTCTTTTATTCATAGTGTTCTAAAACTCTATTTTTAAACATGTTACCTGAATGGCTTATATGCACAGTCTAAAACATCCATTTCTTTTGAGAACTATTTGAGTAGTATTACTGTAAATAAATTAAGGACTACATTGACTCACTTTCAGCATAGCTGTCACAATTTAGAAACTGAACATGTTAGATGTTCTGCCTTTAAGGAAGACTTTCGACCATTAAACCACACTACTCAGTAAAACTTAATCCTCCACAAACATGCTATTTTTTTATCAACTTACACATTGTTTTAGTAGACTTCCTGTTCTTTTCTAAATACTTCTTTCAGACGTTACATGAAGTTGCATATGAGGATGATCAGGGGATGGTGGGTTGATGGTTGTTGGGGGGGCAACCCCTCATTTTTAAAGAATAACACTAAACATGGAAACGTTTAAATAAACTAAGCATTTGATATTTCAACAAACTTAACAAAACTATCAAAAGCAAAATGCTTTGCTAAGAGTTTGCAATCATCTAGCATTTTGTATTTTAAAGGGAAAAAATACTCCAACACTCAGATGTCTAGCCGGCGCTGTTTTAATTATCCCGCGTAATCACCAGATGCCAATTAGTGTCAGGTCAGGTCAGGTAACACATGTGTTCAGGTCAGAGTAACACAGGTCAGGATAATACATGCATTCAGGTCAGGGTAACACAAGTCAGGATAATACATGCATTCAGGTTGGGTAACACATGTGTTCAGGTCAGGTAACACATGTGTTCAGGTTGGGTAACCCATGTGTTCAGGTCAGAGTAACACAGGTCAGGATAATACATGCATTCAGGTCAGGGTAACACTTGTATTCAGGTTGGATAACACATGTGTTCAGGTCAGGTAACACTTGTGTTCAGGTTAAATAACACATGTGTTCAGGTCAGGGTAACACTTGTGTTCAGGTTGGGTAACACATGTGTTCAGGTTGGGTAACCCATGTGTTCAGGTCAGGTAACACATGTGTTCAGGTTGGATAACACATGTGTTCAGGTCAGGGAAACACATGTGTTCAGGTTGGGTAACACATGTGTTCAGGTCAGGTAACACATGTTCAGGTTGGATAACACATGTGTTCAGGTCAGGGTAACACTTGTGTTCAGGTTGGATAACACAAGTGTTCAGGTCAGGGTAACACTTGTGTTCAGGTCAGAATAATACATGCATTCAGGTTGGGTAACACATGTGTTCAGGTCGGGTAACACATGTGTTCAGGTTGGGTAACCCATGTGTTCAGGTCAGGTAACACATGTTCAGGTTGGATAACACATGTGTTCAGGTCGGGTAACACTTGTGTTCAGGTTGGATAACACATGTGTTCAGGTCAGGGAAACACATGTGTTCAGGTTGGGTAACCCATGTGTTCAGGTCAGGTAACACATGTTCAGGTTGGATAACACATGTGTTCAGGTCAGGGTAACACTTGTGTTCAGGTTGGATAACACAAGTGTTCAGGTCAGGGTAACACTTGTGTTCAGGTCAGAATAATACATGCATTCAGGTTGGGTAACACATGTGTTCAGGTCGGGTAACACGTGTTCAGGTCAGGGTAACACTTGTGTTCAGGTCAGAATAATACATGCATTCAGGTTTGGTAACACATGTGTTCAGGTTGGGTAACACATGTGTTCAGGTCGGGTAACACATGCGTTCAGGTCAGGTGACACATCCTTTGTACAAGGTAACTGCCTGATATTAAACATATGACTTGTTGGTTGTAATTACAATATATTCATTTCTTTTCATTTATTTGCTGTAGCAAGAACGTGGGAGGCCTCAATGGCGATGGATCAAATTGTTCCATAAGTAAAACATATCTGGCTATAGCAATCAGTTGTTCTAAAGTGCTTCGCTTAAGGTTATTGTTATTTTAAATATATGTAGTACAAGCTGCAACAAAAATAACTTGATATTAGAATATATAATTTCTGATAAAATACTAGTTTCAGACACAGTTCATCCAATCATTGCATCCAAGTTGTTGGAAGTGTAACTTTTGGGTATATTTTCTTACCCAAGTCACCAGCAGATTGGTAGAAAATCTGGGTACAGCTGATTTCTATTTATGGATTAGTTAACGAGAAAATACAGAGGGTAATCTTTATTTCTGCATATAAAACAATGGCTAGCAGAACAGAAAATACAATTCAAATGGTAAATCATCATGTCTAGTGATAAGTTTTCTTATTTTCACATTTTTATTGACCAAGTTTGTTATTATCTGTTCGTTTACCTGAATTCTCTGAAGGGATACTATGTAGTTTTTTACTACACATAATATGATGTTGATCGTTCAAAATTGCAGTTTGGCTGCAGCTTGTTAAATTATTGTACATCCTTCGTCATGAGAGTGAGTGAGTTGGGTTGGGTTTAACGCCGCTTTTAACAGTATTCCAGTTATATCGCGGTGTGTCAGCTTAATGTGGGAGGAAAGCCCGAAGTGATGCAGGTCTCAGACGTTTACCACTTTGGTGAAACCCACGAGCATGGGTATGGTGCTGACAAACTTAGAAACATAATTTGGCCAAACCGGGGATTCGAACCCACAATCATAGGTTTCTGGCGTGCCGAGGGGACGCAACTCTGCACAGTAAACCGCGGCACCTTAGACGCGACTGGGCCACCTGTGCCCCCCCCCCATGTCATGATGAACAGCTTCTAATTCTTCGATCCCCGATAGATGTCACTTTGCACAACAGTGCAGCAAGAATAGCGCCCAACACAAGTCGAGTCAGTGGACATTATGGTCCATAACAACTAAAAATTGTATCCCCGAAGAAAAAGCCAATCCATATTTCAATACCATCAAAGTAGGAGTGTTGTGTCCCTTTAAGTTCACCCCACCCCCTTTTTTAAAATATACATAATTATATCTATTTCTCAAATAGTCTATATAAATATTTATTGGGGCCCTAAGCATGTATGATTTGCTCTTAGCACGTGATAAGAATATGGTATGAAAATAAAGGACCCTCACCTTAATTGTGTCGATATATGACGTCAGATTTCTAATAAAGTGGGCAAATTCGTTCCATGTTCCACTCTAGCATAAAACTTACTTTCCAGGGTGAAATTTCCGATGCATTTGTCTCCTGTGAACTTTTCGAATAGAAAAAAGGACTGCATTTTACCTTAAACACGAAAGCAAGCAAAGCTTTCGCTTCAATAGCCACGAAAACGCCCCCTTTCTAATGTCGGACAGGGAGTGAAACGTCTGAGGATTTAGTGTGAAGTGTCTCGTGACCGTGTCTTCACATACAATATAGTCAACTGTCATTCAGATAAAAATATGGCACGAGCGGGAATATTGTTCGTTAACAATACAGCACAATATCGCCTGTTGATTTACCGATCTCTAAACACACGTACACCGAGTTCATATACAGGGCTTATCACATGACTAAACATGTCGGAGGGAAATGTTTCACCAACCTTATTCTCCTTCAGTGTTGTGAGGGACTTCATGCCCACATCGCTCGGGCCCCTCGACAGCAACATTGCTGTATATCCTCACCCCCGGGGAAACATGCCCTGGGGGGCCACGAACCGCGAGCAATTCCTTGACACTGTCAACACTTTGACTACACAACACAGTAGCGATAGGGTCAGACCACATACCGTATTAAACATGATGCGCGCTCTAAGCCGCACATATCCAGACTGTTTGAAGACGTATTTTAATGTGTCGTTTCTCTTTGATTACACACAGTAAAGAAAGAGTTGCCGAAAAAACAAATTTGTCTAACGCGTGGTCGTTATATTATGTTCCCGTTCTTCATTTACCTCGGTAAGTGGATCTAACTAAACATTTGGTCATTTTATTAAGAAATAGATCAAACATTTTTAATTTAAAAAAGCATTTGGAATGTAAAAAAATCATTAATGTACTCATTTTGAATGTTTTGAAAGTTGTTTTCTTTTCGATGTTTATGTTCTATAAATGAAAGACGAAGTACGGTGAGTTAATGTATTCAATATTTCTGAAACATTGCGTCTATTGCACAAGACCTGCGCGCGTTAATACAATTTACTCTATCATTTACAGTAGCCTGTTTCTCGAGTAAATTTGTGGATTTGCGGGAACAGGGCCCACTTGCACAAAGCGATCTCAGCCCTAAGATGATCTTAACTCCCATGCTTTAACATAGGCTTACAATAGTCGTAGCGCTAAGATCGCTTTGTGCAAGTGGGCCCAGGAACAAACGTACTTTTTTTGTGGTCGCAAAATGTAAATGCTTACTATCCTTTGCTGTATGTCCCAGCAAAACTTCGCATGACGTTTTTCCCTGGACCTGACTCAGTTTTAATACGATGTAACTATTCTCCTATATCTTCTGCGTCCAACATTCATACTTTCCTAACATGTCATGGATGGGATACCTTCACGAGGGCAGTGCCGTGGCACTGCTTGTCACTCCCCACTCAACAGAGAGGGCGATATTTATTTCACCAATACATTAGGCTAACTCACTGAGGTATGTATCAAGGGTAATTATCAAGCGTAACCACACGTGCTTTAGACCTATACTTGATAACTGTTATCAGACCAGGATGTAGCATATGAAGTGTCCAGCAGATAGTACTTCCACTGATAGAGTGCACGCATATCAATGTCACCGTTGTGTTCTCGTGGAGTGGCCTTGTTGGCATTGCTTAATCCTATAATAACAACACAACGATACATAGTCGATGAAGATATAGTTGACTCATTGAGTTCATTTTCTTTCTACTTTTTTTAATAGATGTTGGAATTCATACTTATATCACCATTATCATTAATGTCATCAGTAGCGTACGTCCCATCGCTCTGGCCAACAATGCCTTAGCATTGTCGCAATTAACATATACGCATACCATTGGTATGCATGGTCTTTAACGTACGATTCTCAGCGGTGCATGACATATCATCCTCATAATTATGAACGGATCGCCGCCGTTATGATCCTCCATAGCATAACTATTGTTGTGATCAACGCATGTATCACGGTTGTGATCATCAACAATTCGTTGTCATGGCTATTATTTTTCGTATGACTGTTGTTGTCTTTATCAGCAGCATTAGCGAACGCGTCACTATCAGGGCAATAAACAACGTACATAATGCATTATGATCACCTTTATCGCAGATTCATCAATGACTTGACTGAGTGTGTGTCTTCGTATGCCCCAACGGCATTCCCTGTCTGATCCAGATCTATAATTTACAGTCTGACGTAATATTACTGCAATGCATGTTGGCTGCGGTGTAAAACAAGGGTCAATCCTGACACTTACTGCTATTACCGCCGATTTCACGGCCACGGAACATAATTCTCAATAAAACAAAGCACTTAATTATAACAAGTGGGTCCTTATAATTTATGAATGAGCAAGCGGCGTTTGTGTTATTCACAAAGCAATTTGCATTTGTATGGTGTTTACAAAGCACTAATTTGAATTCATCTCCCCCATCAACATTTTATTAGCTTTGCTAATCCCAGCAAATTTACATTCAAACACTATTACCTGTTTACACAAGGTTCGACGCGGTAACCCTCGTCGCGCCGAGATGGTCAGTTTGCAATCCTCACGAACCTCACATCAAATATATGTTAAGTGAGTGAGCTAAAACTTAAAGTCACGTGGGCAGTATGTCGTCCATATTGTGACCATCTTAAGATAATACGTTAATAATATGCAAAATAATCTCGACGATGGACATTATACCAGTTAGACTATCACATATTTGTATTTAAAACTATAGGAGCATTAAAATTATATGACTATTTTACATGAGAATACAATATAAAACCGGCCTATACATCCATCGCCATCAACCAGAGTTAGGCCACCATGTTCTAAGCACCATGGTGGCTGTCGTAGACTAACGTTTGGTCTCTGAACATACATAATTTTGATACACACAAGTATTTACATATACATTGAAAAGAAGCCCCGATGAGATGGGAACAATCTAGACTTGCTTTATCTAGGACTATAGCACTACAGTAAGGGCTGAGCGAAAGGGCAAATAATATGGTTCAGGGACTTTAAGACAGACAGACTAGGATTTACAGTATCCCTGCTATACCTTCATGGCATACCAGCAGGAGTGGCGATTTAACTGAAACTTAAACTAATATTCTACGATTAAAACACTGGGGGGGGGGGGTTAATACTTGGAATCATATGATCTTACATATATGATGACGTGTACGGTAAGCCAGCACATGACCATTTTCAGGGATGTTTGGAAGGTATTTACACCATTTGACTGTCTGGGTTGTGTAATTGATTATTTATGTTTCTTCGTAACGCGGGAAGACAAGCTAGGGAAACTCGGCTCTGATGTGTCTAACCATAGCTGCTGCAACAAGGCAGCCCTGACGCCCCATACAACACACACACAGTGGAGCTTAGTTCCGCGACCACTCACGCTTCACTATAGACACAGTCTATACGTTTTACCAAAAATAAGACTAGTCCAATTATTGACACAAAGGATCCCTGAAAACAACACATACTTGAGTGGGACACAAAAAGGGTAGCCCCGGAAAACGATTTCTATCTGGATTATCTTAACTTTTATTTTGTATTTAATAGATTGTAGGTTAGTTACACACTTTCCCCTGTTTATACTGTAAAGGTTTATGGGCAACATTTTTAACATCTTTCGTCTTAATAAAATTGTTTTAACGGTATGTTCAACGCCATGGCAACCATGAAGAAGTTGACACACACACGGTCACAAGTACCAATCACAAGCTTGTCGCAAGATAAGAAACAAGTTTGAATATCGGGTATCGGTTGGCCACTATGGCATGTCGAGTATGGGCAGTGTATGTGGTAACATTTCCTGATTAGTTGATTCATTAGTCCAAATCTCTGTTACCTGACTAATTGCGTGTCATATATCCCGATATATGTTGTTCACGTTATTTACCATTGGTTTCGCTGTACCAGGTTCGATTACATAACGGGCATGTTGTATTCAATATTGCCTTATAGTATTACAGAGAGTGACGTAAACCTTAGTTCACCTTGGTCCAGACCTATGCTTATACTATAGCTGAGTGTGGCGTTATACATGTAACAAACGGATGGTGTGAGGTGCAACAATGACAAGTCCACTAGTACCCACATACGACGACTTCCATGCAAGTACGCTAGGATATAGTATGGTTGTAAACTAAACGGTTAGTATGGAAGTTGTCAGATAAAGTATCGAAATGAGGCGACATTTGAGCCAAGTTTTCCTCATCCATTTCGTTGACCTTTCACATACAGTTCAAAACGTCATTAACCCCTAATCACTCACTCACTCGCTCTGGAGCAATATATAGTCTCCTCTGTTGCTGTGTCGTCAGTTTAGGGTCAGGTATGTATGACCTCGCAAAAATACCATTGGGCCAATGGACATGTCATGTCAGGCTATACCCTGTACATAAAATAAAGTACCAAATATTAATGGTTTTATTGTTGTATCTTTCTTATGGATGGATGGATGGATGGATGGATGGATGGATGGATGGATGGATGGATGGATAGATAGATAGATAGATAGATAGATAGATAGATAGATAGATAGATAGATAGATAGATAGATAGATAGATAGATAGATAGACTGCTGTAAAACCGGCAAATAATCTCTGACATAATATCCCGAAAAAGACACGTTTGTTCGTATACTTTGCAATGCACTTTGGTCTCTATCACCAACCGTCTAACAGTGACCTTTGTCTCGGAGTAGTCCGCTTCGACTTTGCAGTAAAATCATAGATTCAATAGCCACCTGTTTAATTACGTGTCTTTATCAGACGATGTTTACATTCCAACCGCCTTGCGTATATAAAACAAACGTCAGCTAGTTGTGTAAGCAAGCCGCGGACAGCTATTCACGGTATTCAATGCAATTATGTTTTGTTTTAGATGAAGGCATACTTTTAAAAATATAGTACATCAGGCAAATTAGGAAATCTCTCCTTTGAGGTATGACCTGTGTGTCATGTTGGGCTAACAATTGTCAATATTCCGTACTTTTTGCTGTTGTTACAGTACGTTAACCGTCGTTGGTTATATTGAAGTATCTGATGTATATCAAATATTGAACGTTACACCCGTGGCGATTCTTAGTGGGAGTAAAGTTCCAAGGCAACCTATATGTCGCAAGAGGCGACTAAATGGATGGGGGAGTCATGCTCGGTGACTTGGTGGATACATCGTATCTCAATTGCATGGCTCGACGCTCATGATGATAATCACTGGAATTGTCTGATAACTCTCAATTATTTACAGACCGCTGTATTATAACGAGAATATTGCTGAGTGAATCGTTAAAAAAGAAGCAGTATATTTTATGATTTTGTTCTGATTGTCAATGTAACCTCAATTACAAACAGCCCCAGGTCTATTCCAGATCCTCATTCAACATTTACGTTATTAAGATGTAAGTATGAACGCTGTCTTCTGTAAACGATTGGCGATTTCATCTGAAGCTACAATTACTGGTGTCTGGCTCATGTACGCTAGAATATATATACTTTATTAATTATGTATTTATATTAGCACACTTGTAGTTCCCTGAGAGGGTGACGCACATCCAAGTATTTGAATAGCTAAAGGCTGCAAGGCCATGTGTCTTCTGGGATATGAATTTGGTTTATTCTTTAGGACTTAGTCCTATCGCCTTACGCCACCTTTGTCGTATCAGAATTGTATGGTAATTTGATAATTAGTCTTAGGTTCATGCATAGGCCTGTGCTGACATAAAATGTGTAAGGATTGAGATTATTAACGCTCGACCTGTCGACAGAATGTCGAATATACATACTGTAAACTACGGTTATAACGAACACGCTTATAACGAACTGACGGATATAACGAACTTTTTTTTTTGTCCCGACTATCTGCTGTATTATGCTGTATATATGCTTATAACGAACTACGGTTATAACGAACAAAAATTTGTGGTCCCTTTGAGTTCGTTATAACCGTAGTTTACTGTATTTAACTTAACTGACGGAACATAATATGGCACTATAGTTTCGAATGGCAGGGCCGAGATAACAATAATTCTGAAAAAGCGGGTAATATAGGAACTGTATATTAACACCCGCACTTACCGTTAAAGATTCGACGTGCGCTTCTAGCAACTGCTGATTTCGCACTTGGTGATGTTAAATATCGTTACAATAGTTTCCTTGTCGAAGTTTTTCTTCTTTTCTTCTCTTCTTCTTTGTATATGTAGTAATGGTGTCAGAGTATCACGTCATTTGGAGGTATTCAAGGAATATTGTGTAAATAACTCGTAGAGAGTCACCCTTAGGGCCGTATCTGGGACTGGATCCCATGATGATGGATGGCAAAGGGACACAACTCTGCGTCAATAAGTTATGTCCCTGAGATGTTTGGACTCATTTTTGCCTTAACATATCGACCCAGGCATTGAAATTATATAAGGTTCATGTGGTAGAATCCCCTGTTTGTCCCGATAATGATCCCTTCAATACCATGTCGCGTTCGTGGGTTTCACCACAGCGGTATAAATATACACGCGACCTGTTTTTGTTGGAGTTTTCCTCCAATATTAACTGACACACTGATATATAGCTAAAACACTGTTCAAAACGACGTTAATACACAACAATGCAAACAGTCCTCTCAACTAGGAAACAGAATACATATTACGCATGGCATTTTTATTTCCTAGTTCTCGGTACAAATTAATTCTATTGTTTGCGCAGAGATGCCGAGTTTGTCAGCACCATGCATGCATAACCGTACTGCTCATAGCGGCATTACATTCAACTCACTCACTCCTTTCATTAGCCAAGTATGAATTGTTCATTATTGGAAGCACGCATTGCCAACAGCAACAGCAAGTTGTTGAATTTGCATTGCCAACAGTAATGATCAAGTGTCACCAGTTTGATGCAAACGTTCATCCTTTGGATATCATATATAAGCATATGTGAGTGAGTGAGTTGGGTTTAACGCCGCTTTTAACAGTATTCCAGTTATATCGCGGCGTGCCAGCTTAATGTGGGAGGAAAGCTTGAAGTGATGCAAGTCTCACACTATTACCACATGTTTAATGAAATAGGATTACACAATAAATAAGGAAGATACAACAACCAAATTTTACACAGGATGAGGCACATGTTTCTTTCACTACAAACAATCTTTTAAGGTTCTAAGGGACGTCTGTGTCTGTGATAGCACTTTGCCAAAGTCAGTACCTGGTGTTACCACCACGAGCATCGATCACAGCTCTGCACCGCCTGGGCATGGACTGTATGAGTCGTCGAAACTGGCGTTGTGGAATCCTTCTCCACTCATCCTGCAATGCATGGTTCAGCTGTTGAAGCGTCTGTGGTTGAGGCTGTCGGCGTCGTACACGTCTGTCTAGCAGATCCCACAAATGTTCAGGGGGTTTAGATCAGGCGATTTGGAGGGCCAAGGCATCACATTTACATTTTTGTGGGCAAGATAATCCATGGTAACACGTGCAGTATGCGGTCTTGCGTTGTCTTGCTGGAAAATCTCTCTTCTGACGTCAATGGCGGGAATAAGGTGACGTTGAAGGATTTCATCAGGGTAGCGTACAGCAGTTAAATTTCCCTGCACGTGCACCAGATCTGTCCTACCATTCACGGACATGCCTGCCCACATCATGACACTTCCACCGCCGTATCAGTCGACTTCATGAATACAGTGTCGAGTGTAGCGTTCATTTCTCCGTCTGTAGACACGCATCCTACCATCATGGCGATACAGCATGGACCGCGACTCATCACTGAACCATATCCTTCTCCAGTGTACTAGGGTCCATGGTCGAACATTTCTGCTCCATTGCAGACGTGCACGACGATTATGTTGCCGCAGAACGGGCGCTGTATATGGTCTCATTGGCCGTATCCCATGCCGTCTTAGACGATTTCTGATGGTTTGCGCTGAGACTCTACGAAGACCAGGAACATTGTTAGCTGTGTATGCTGCACTGATTGTCCGGTTGCGTAGATGCAACACCCGCATGAAGCGGTCCTGCGCCGCAGTTGTGACCCTGGGTTTTCCACTTCTCGGTCGATCTCTTGTAGAGTTGTGGAGTATGTAGCGCTGCCACAGACGAGAAATGGTACTCTGCCTCACGTTAAAGTGTCTGGCTTCTGATGTCTGACTTTCTCCAGCTTCCAGACGCCCAATGGCTCTGATTCTACAGTCTTCATTCTTTCTACAGTCTTGGCATCATGAGAGTCACGTATACAGAACATCGGAAAGTGATTCGCAGCAGGACTGCCAAATTTTTATACCTATCGGTATATAGGTTAAGTAGCCGTACTTGCACGTGCAGCATGTTTACAGCTTTTTCTCCATGCAATTTCTCCCAGTTTGGTTTCAAGATGCTGTATTTTGGCGACAAGTCACCAAATGTTGTGTTCGGGTGCAATGAATTAGTGTAAAGTCAATATTCACAGTTAGCAATGACATTTATATTGAGTTCAAGCCTTCATCTTTAATAACAGTCAAGTTTGAAAAACAGATTTCAGCTATGCGTTTCTTTTTGGGGGGTATCCAAGGGACGCAACTCGCGGCGCCTTAGACGACTGGGCCACCCGTGCCCCCTATAAGCATATGTATATTTTTCACGATTTTATATAATACGTTTCATCTCTAACACGGAATATGGTTATTTTGTCACGCTGGTTTGAACTGCAAAGATACAGCTTCATTTCTCATTTGAAGCCCTTCTCCTTCCAGAAATGTATAACACAGGGCCAGAGCGCCAACATACCCAACTGTTAAATCGTTCCACAGCCCAGCTGGGAACACATCTTCGTTATCCTTAGCTATGCGGCGAGGATAAACAATTAGGATACGTACTGTTTTGTTTGCTTGACATTTTGCATATGAAACTGTTTCATGACACCTACTTGAACCAGAAACATATACGTGTACACACCTTGTTCTTTGAGCTGATACCTTTCTACTACGAACCAAGGACAACACGCGTACATTGCTCCTGGGGTAAACCCCCCCACCCCACCCCCCACCCCTCTCTCTCACACACACACACACACACACACACACACACACACACACACACACACACACGACAACCATAACAGTCATACACGGTCACAGTTCCAAGCACGATACAGTAAGCGGGTTTTACGCCGCCTTTAGCACTTCCCTCACTGTAGGCACGTGGGAGATGGATCTTGGGTCTAATGCACCAATCACTAGCTACTACATTCGCCGTCCTCTGACCATATGGAGGGTCTCTGGTATAGTTCAAATTTGTTGTTTGTTGTTTTAAGCCGCAGTCAGATATATATCAACTTCCTGTGTATAATTAAGTATGGGCCTTGCAAAAAAAATAGTTTATCAATGTCCAGCGTCATCGCGTTACTGCGATACACAATCAGCCAAGATCACGTATGTTAGTTTGCTCTTTCGACCATCACACGGGACGAGTTCCAATGTAAGATATAGTGCATTTATATTAGTCAATTAGTTAAAATGTTTGCAATATTAAATCCACATAGCGACACTTATGAAAGGGTAGGCTGGCGGCCTGAGATAGAGGGCAGGTGATGGGTGCGAAAGCAAGTAAACAATTATTTTCCTTCGACATGTGTGGTTTGAATGGAAACAAAGTAGTTTAGCAACGCATTTAGTTTTGGAATTGAAACTAATAGTTATGCCATATAGCTTCATTGTGCATTGTGACATCACAGCCATTATGACATCACATTCACGTACGCAAGTGCCCGATGCGACGTCACCCCCTGAAAATGTGATTTAGGCCAGGTTGACTTTTAACGACTGATTAATTCAGTGCATGTGAAGTCTAGACGGTGCATCAATAAAACGCGACAAAGCATAGCTGCATGAGCCGCATCCGATCAATGGCGAAGTCTGCAGACGGTATCGTCAACCCTATAGCCTAACGGCTAGCGTGTAGCTAGTCGTACCGTAACAGTATCTTGCCGGTGAGCAAGATGGCGGCCATGCTGCAGAAGACAGATTCACGCATATCTCTGGAAATACGAACAAAATCTGTAGAACAGACCCTCGTGCCTCTGGTGACCCAGGTAGGATAATTAATTACTACAATTTCCGCGTTGTGCGCACTATTTACGTGAACTGTATCTTCGGAAGAGTGGATTGATGTGCAAATGTTTACTCGACACCGCCTCTGCAGAAAAATACTCATTCTATGTTGATGATAAATTTGATCACATATGCATCACGTTTATTTTGTATTTTTCTCTACGCTTGGTTCATCTGATTGTCATGTTGAATTGTGCATCCAATGATTTGAAATATACTTCTCGGACAATTGTTATGTAATATTTGACACAGAAATGTCACCTCCCGCGCTTGCTGAATGTAAACATTAACAAACCACACCCCCTTCCGTCGCAAAAGGCAAAAAGACAATGTAACACATTATGGTTGGAATGTTGCACAATTTGTATTGGTGCCACGCCCGTATTCCACATGTACTAGGTGATACAACACTATGTTACTTCTAATGATTAATTTTCCTTCAAACACGAATAATGCGCCAGATATTGGGCATGTCCCATACAAAAGAGTTTTACAGTTTATCACACGAACTTAGGTTTTCTTTGATAGTTATGGTATTTAATAAGAAACTTCAGTTTTCTCCAAGACCATCCCATCATTGCCTTGTTAAATATAGGCAACCTACATCCAGAATATTGGTAGGTTCCTTGTTATTTACATATGTTGTCATGTGAGCAACAATTTACACATGAGTCTGGAGTAGAAGAGAATTCTGGTTGTTATCATAGTTATCAGGTTATGCTGCTCCTTGTTCTATCATTATTATTCGAATACAGATGAGTGTGTCATTAAGCCATGTAAGAAATTATAAGAGAATATCATTATGAAGTAAATGAGGACAATAAGCATAATAGAATAAGACTTAAGCAAGTGAAACTAGTCTGGATTTTATTATTAATAATCATAATGATGGTCAGTGGTTCTTTATTGATACTGACTATTAAACATGGCGAAAGGGTTGTAATTAGTGGTAACTTGTACCATAAATGGCAGCTCAAAATTTGGTTTGGTACTTAAAAGTTGAGGGTGCTACTCACTCTTTAATTATTTATTTTTATTTATTTTGTGGTTAACATGTTGAATGAGTCAGTAAGGATTTTAATGATCCTTTTGTTATGTTGGAAATGAAAAGAAAAAGTGGTAGCAAAAATTCAAAATAAAAATAATACTCTCTCTCAAAAAGTTAAGTTTTGACCTTGCTATCAGTATACGTGAAGTTCATGTGATACTCGTTGATATTTTAAAGTCCTACTGGGTATGTTTTGGTAGCATTGGAGTGAACATAACAAGAAGCTTCTAAAATAGAACCCTAAAATTGAAAGCCATCTTCCAGTTACTACAGCAGCTGAAGTGGTAAAAAGTTGGAAGTTTAGTCCCAAAATAAAGTAATATGAGAACTCTGAAGACATTCTTGGGTTGTGAAAAAGGCTTATGCATCTGGCGTTGTTCTTGTACACCTATTACAGTAGACAATGTCAATTAAGGGTGGCTTGTTAGACATTTCATCCTAAAAACACATTCTTGCAATTTCCAATGAACTTGTACCAAGATCGTGTGTTGTTATTGAGCTTGTGTCACCACAGATAGTGTTCTGCTCAACATGTTGAAAGGGGTTTTGCATAAAAAAGTTTACATTTTCTTTCAAACAAGCTTGAAATAAAACTGAACTACCTTGTGTTGTTGAAAGATTGATTTCCCACTCAAGAATGATTGAAGGTCAGATAGCATGAACCATTTTAATTAGTGTTCATCATGTTCATTTGTGTGTTCCAAAGCACTCATGTTTTACTCACTTTATGGCCTGGCAGGTTTGTTCTTTGCTAAATTTGACTTCTTCCCTGAAGGGATGTATAAACTTTATGAGGATATGAAGCACCATTTTATGAACCAAAAGCATTAAAAATATCAGTTTTGGGGGGAAATGAGTAGTTAGTAATTTAAAGTGTATGATCTTGTAGTATCAATACAGTAAAAAGTGTATCATTTCATCACATGAAAACTCACGATGAAGCCCTAATTGTCTGTTTAATTTGTTGGTATGGAGAAACCATGGACTTGTATAAGTTATATAGGTCCGTGGGGAAACTTAAAGTTACATATATGCTTTAAACCCATTTGAATATTACATTGATCATGTTGATTCTGTGCGGTGTTATATCAGGCCATCCTCAAAACACATTACATGTATATTAAACACATGATATTAAAAGCATCCAACATATGATTAGATATGTGACCTGTGAAATGTACCTGTGCCATGATGCTATAAACATAATAAGTAAGAGTTTGAAAGGCTTTTGTTGAACATGTTAAATACTGTTGACTACCAGTCATGTCAATTATTACAATCTATTATTTATGGTAATCTTGAATTTTTTGTCTGCAGCTCTCACAGTCTTAAGCAATAGCCTGCAATCTGAGTCTTCATATATTTTCTGTCAGACTTTCTGCCTTTTTTATCCAGTATGTTTCAGTATAATTGATAGTAGACGAAAATGGTTTTGACATTGGTTGGGCTCTACTCCAAGAAAAAATATGACCCTCTTTAGACTATTTGTTACCATGATACCTGAACGAGAACGTCAAAAGTTGAGTTTCAGGCAATGCAGTTTGCACTAAACTACAGTGTGTCATGTAAAGTTGTTGATGCAACTGTAACCGAGTACAGATGATCACTCTAATTGGCTGCGATATCATGTAACCATACTACACTCTGGTTTAGCTGTATGCTTAGAGAGGAGACAATTTACAAGATGTTCAATACTGTTTATGTTATTCAAATTTAAAGTTAAATCAGTTATGTCACTTTGTCAATTCACCCCGATTATGTTTCGAGCTTTGTCAGCACCATACCAGTGTTTGTGTTTGTAAACATCTAAGATCTGTATCATTCAGGGCTTTCCTCCCACATTAAGCTGACACACCAGGTAAGAACTGGAATACTATTCAAAGCGGCATTAAACCAAACTTACTCACTTTGTCAATCATTATAAGTTAAACACCACTTGGCAATGACAGAACTTCTCTTTGTCCACATCATTTACCTTGATGATAGAACCAATTTTATGAAAAAATTGTGTCACCAGTGGGATTCAAACCAGCGGAGTCTGTACCAAAGGCTAATGTAGTGTTCTGCCACAGCGACATGGGATTGTGTGAAATTAACTACTAAATATTTACCTACATCAGGTTTATTGTTATCCATTTATGAACTGCAAAATATGAGTTTTGTGAAGCTTTTATATGTTTCTCTATGCATTGTAGTGTTTGTACTTACATGTGATTTTGTAGCTTTCCATCAACGAAATGAACAGACAGAAAAGAAATTACTTAATGTTTTGGTGATTGATAAATGTGCTCAAGTTGGTCCAAAATGAATGGTATACTTGCCCAGCGACATGCATTTCATATCCCAAGTTGGCAAAGTGTGAGGTGCATGTGCAAAAGGCTCGGGGAACATATTTCACAAGCATCATGCATGGGTGACTCACACAGTGTCCTCACAGTTAAGCATAGAGTTCCTGAATATCTTTCAAAATACCTGGAACAACACAATGTTTTTAAGCATCTTAGGTGCTATAAGTGCTGGACATGGTTGAAATAGGTTAGAGCACATGGACTATGGTGTGTAATCAACGATTTCAACGATTAAACATCAGGTCCTCATGCTCTAAGTCTAACTTATACTTATTAATATTAAATAACACACAACATCTTGTATATATATCATAGTTTGTAACAACAAGTAGTGTTTTATCAAAATGTCCCATGATATGATAATAGTCAGTTACCATGACCACGCTGATGGGATGTGTTATTGAACTGTTGTTTGTAACATCAGGTTTGATACTGTTAATGATAATGTCCTGATTGTGTATCATGCAGAACAATAACAACCAACACACACAATGGGTTGCTCTTTGAATAGTTCAATGATTAATGGCAATAGCAATTATCTCTACTTGGAAGGCAATGAAAAAATGATTGTCCTAGTTTTCTGAAAAATCAGCTTATAACTTGAACATTTTCATTGGTGGTTTATCACCAGATGTCTGTTGTAACTCGACAGGTAGATATTTTGACATGTTTGCTACGCATCACAAATTCTCCACCAGAGACAGGCACTTATGTCAAACACTAATTCCAACTGAAATCATTCTAACAACTGAACAGGGTTTCACAGTATACCCAGCAAGTCCATCTTTACTCATCAATATGAAGAAACAAAAGAAAGAGACTGACCTGTGTGTTGTGTGTGGAGCTCCTGCCGGGGAGTTGCAAGGCGGCCCACCAAGAGTCTAGGAGTTCCATTATGCATAACCTCTGGTGGTGGAATGCAAAAAAGTGACTTTAGGTGATATGGGCATGGAGAGTTTATCATATTCATCATGTTCACAGGAGTGTGAACTTTGAGCAAGGATCACACTGATTCATGGGGCTATGCCAAAGTTCAGTTTAAGTTCAGCAACCACAGCCGGACATCACATATTTCTTTCATTTGCGTATAGCATGTTAAGGTATTGTGTCATGAATTATCACTATTAATAATTTATGTTTGTTATGTTGGTTTGTCAACATCATGACCATGCTCTTGTCATTCACCAAAGTGGTAAATGTTGCAGAGGACCTGCATCATTTCAGGTCCTCCTTTCAAATTAAGCTGTGATACCAAACTCTCTTACTCACTCACCCTTTTTGTTTAGAAAACATTTCTGAAAATGATGTTGTAAACGTCACTTTTACTAGGTTCAAGGTTTCAGATTGGGTCATTATGTTGGATTTTGACTGATCTTGATCATGCTGATTGTCTTCCAAGATATTCTAAAGATCTTTCTTCAAATTTGGTCATGATAAAATCATAAAAATTCAATTTGTCTCGCAACAGCTCTGAGGTAGTATATAAACATGTTAATTATTCAACTTGTTGAAGGTCCCAAAATGGTTATCATGGTTATGTCAGGTGTTAATGAAGAGGTTTAATTATATTCTTTACCAGATTTGC